TGTTTTATAACACCAGCATTATAAAACTGTGATTGGGATTTCCTTAGAGTAACGTAGCAATATATGATAAAGTGCAATCCAGAAACATGACTTACATTCTGATTAAACAACAAATTGTTGTACCAAACCTTTCTTAAAAAGCCCCTTGGAATGTATTTTTATTACTTCTGAGACTCTTTTAAATCCTGCTGGTATTTTTGTTTTTCTTCACAGCTCTTTTAAATGTAATCAAAGAGGATTTTTGCTTTTGTTGAAGCATTGCAAACTAGCACCAGGTAAAAACCTGACTATACCCAAAAATGATGTACAATAGCTGTCTAGTTTCAAAGTGAAGCTGAAGGGGACAAGTTTGGTTTTTTTTAGTTCCCCCAATGAAAACATTGATTCTTATTAGTAAGGACAGTCAGCTATAGTATGCTCACATCCTGATCTTTTTTCTCGTTGTTTGTTCAACTAAATAATGTCTTCAAATTTGCACATTAAAATTAGGTTTACCTTTGAAGGGCGAAATTATACGTAAGAAAGAAACAACATCAAACATTCAGCTGTGTCTACTAATCATTAAGGGTGCAGTCTTTGCATGTAATTCTGCATAGGGGAGAGGTGCTGTGTTACTGCAAACTGTCACTGCCCTGGGACTTTGGATTTTCAGCTGACAGAGGATCTTGAGAGAGAAATTAGCCTCTTAAGTTTGAGTTGTTAAAAATTTGTTGGCTTTTTCTTTCTAGCATCAATGCCTGGTAATTGTTTCTCTCTCGATTTTGTTTTTTGGGTTTTGGTTGTTCTTTTTTTTTTCGTGAATGTAGACAACAGTCTAAACCTTTTTCAGGAATTGTCAGGTATTTTCTGGTACAGTACAGAAGAGACATTTCTGCTGTTGACAGTAGAACATTTAATGAGTCGCATTTGAAGTCCAGTAATTTTGTCAAAACCGTATTGCAGCAATTGCAATTGACTGCAGATTGTGAAGCCATATTTTAGGACAAGATCTTTTTTATTGTCTTAAGTTGCCCGTGTTTTTTAACTTGTCTGCCCCTCCTCCTCCCTCAAATCCCCCCTCTTCTAGAAACAAAGACTTGTTTGTTCCTGCTCTGCCTGTGAGGTCTTTGCAGCCTCTGCTGTGTGGGTGCAGAGCCCCTTATTTAAATGCTTTCCATAGCCATGGAAGGTAAGGAACAGGATGCATTAGAAACTGGTAAGTCCTAGCTGATAGATAAAATGAAGCTCTTCGCCTTTGAATCTGAAGTACTTGAAAAGAGCTGTGCATGATCATTACAGTGATGTGCTGATCATTACAAATGCATGAGGTATAGAAAAAAAGTAAAATCTTCTATCTGATAAGCATCTTCTTTAGAGTGCAGATTTCTGCCGTCATGTCCTGGTAAGTAATGGGGAATAGGAATGTAAAAAGAATAAAAAAAAAACTTCACCCACAAAACAAGCAAGAAAAAAAATCAACCCCAAAGCAACAACAAAAAACTTTAAAACCCTCTGTTTTTTCCTGTCACTTGAAACAAGATGTGTTTCCCTCCCTATTTTCACTAAATACTGTGTTGGAAATTATAGATAATTACATTCTTATTTGAGTTTCCCTTAAAGATAACACACTTGTTTAATCACCAAGGTGTATGGAAATCATCAATACTATTTTTGTGGTTTTTTCACTGGTTCTTCATTTGGATGTATTAAGACAGTAAAATTCAGTTAGCAGCATCTTCTAATATCCTAACTTAGCTTAATTTCATGGTTAAAAAGAATTTGCTCATATAAAAACATCTCTATGATCAGTTCTATGGACAGTTAAAAATCTTATTATTTGAAGTCTTTTGCATTTTCTTTCTTGAAATAATAAAATGTTCAGAAACATCCTTTTAATTTTATCCAAAATTTGTGAATAATAATAATTATAATTTAGAAACTGGAATTTTAGATTCAGTTTCCAAATAGTTACCAAATCATATCATTATCTCCTAATATTTATTGAAGAATTTTAAGTATACACCAAAGTCTCTGTATCTTGTGATACTCCTGCTTTAGATAGTCTTTTATTTAGAAATATGACTTTCAAAATTAACATTAGAGGACTTTTTGGGGATCTAGGATGAGGGAATAAAGTGAAAAATATCAGAGAAACATGATTTCTTTCTTAAAGTTAAAATTGCAAAGTCAGTAGATGAGAAGAATGGAGCAAACAGTGGTCAGAGAGAACAGAAATATGCAAGCAGCTGTCAGAAAGACACACATACATAAAGTAAAAAGAACAGAAAGTGGCAGAGCAGGAAATGCAAAGCTGCCTATTTGTGGAAAAGAGATACTTGTATGGTGCATGCAGGAAAAACAAATTCATAACTTGTTGAAGGAATGTTAGTGATACTGCACTGAGGTGTTTAACTAAGGTTAGACACTATTAAATTTTTATGAGGTTATCTGTAACATGACTTGCCTGTGAACTTCATTGAGGTAGGACACTGAAACCATGATTCATGGGAAAACTGGGGACTAGACTATAAATGGAGCCTTTTTAACCAGAAGAAAATTTACATTTTTCAGCTTTGGATACTTTAATTTTACAAGCTAGTTTGCGTTTAACTTAGATGTGCTCATTTTGGGTGATTGTAACTTTCTAATTTCTCTCCCTCTTGACTTTAAACTGTAATTGACCTTCCATCTTGTTTAATAGCAGGGTATGGATCCTGGAACTTCTAAGGGGTAGCATAGACTTTGGATAAGGTTGCAGAATTAACTAAGCAGAAGAAGGCTGTTTTCTGTTGTCCCCTACTAATCCCTTCATTTCTGCTTATAAGGTGAAAGAGAGTAAGATATATGGAGCAAAAGGCATGGTCCTGGTTCCAGATTTGGAGAGAAAGGAGATCTGTTCCCCATTCTAGCATTGTCATGTCTAGCTTGTCTAAAACTGTAAAAAAAAAAGCCTTGATATACAAAGGTTGTCTAATTGCTGTCAAGCTTCCAGCAGATATTGTCCATTGGAGCTCCTGGTGCTTGTAGTTAAATGTTTGCTGTCCACGTCCTTACAGGACTGCTGTTAGAACTTCTGCTTACCAGTTTCTAGTGTCTCGGGGCCATTCTTCCTGTTGCTGGCCCAGAGACCACAGCTAGTGTGGCAAATCTGGTTAATTGGCTCACTCTGGTCACCTTCTGTCCTGAAGTTCAGTTCTGATGGTGAAGTGGTGCTAGATGTCTCATAACATCAACTGCTTGATTTTAGGCTTCAATCCAAAGGAATGTCATTTTCCCACTAATTTTTTTCATCCTGGGTCAGGATGAGACTTGTAGGTTAGAGCTGAATTTCAGCCCTAGTAGTCTCTGCTTGGTACTGGGATCCAGTTTCTATTCCTACTTCACAGGTTCACTTACCTTACAGGAAGTTTTATCATATTAGCAATCATATGTATGAAGCTCTTTAACAAGTAACTGCATGAAATACTATTGCAAATCACTTTAGGCTATTTGACAACATTTTATGTGTTTTGGACTCATGAAAATGACCGTTCTGCCCATTAGACTGTTAAGTCTGTGCTGGGTCAGTGGATTAGTTGAAAGGGTTGACTGCAGTTTGGTTTCTAACTAGTTTAGTATTATGTGATAAATATGCGTTGGCTTTCTTGGAACAGAAGAAGAGCACTACTGTACCTTAAATTGAACACTAAAAAGACAGTGCAGACTGTGAAGGGCTTTTCAGTGAAAAAATGGTACAGATCTTTTTTTTGTGAGAGAGTTCTCCTTTCTTATGGTAGTTAGAAATGTTAGTATTTCAGGATTCCTCTATAGGATGAAAACATCAGTTCAGACTAATTCTACAGATGTTTTTTTTTTTGCCCCACTTTACCCTGTCATCCTAAAAGAAGCTTTTTTTTTTTTTCTTGGTTTCTGTAAACCATAATCCCCCCCTTCCCAAAAAAAAAAAAAAAAAAAAAAAATAAAAATAAAAATCCCTGCCATTCTCCCATCACTACTTCAGCAAATACAATCTGCAGAGTACTGTGACTGTTAACAGATTCAGTCTGTTACAGAGAACAAGATGGAGAGCTAATTCTAAACTGAAAGCTCCTGGAAACAGTGTCCTTGTAATCCAGTCAGCCTTTCCCACCCTCTCTTTCATTCTAGGAGCTCTGTTGCCTGTGTTGACTTTAACCATATTGGTGTCATGTGAGGGAGAAATCAGGCCTGTCAAATAGGTGCATCCCAGTCATGTATTATTGTATAAAATAAAATTGTCTTAGGCCTTGCCTTTATAGGGGAAGAGGGGGATGTTCTCATTGTGCATTATGCTTACAAGGTTACATTTTGTCTTCTCCACTCCCCTGGAAAAATACAATGTATAGTTCTGAGGGGTAAAAGAAAATGAAGCACTAGCAAAATGTTTCCTATGTTGATGTCAGTATGGCTGTATAATTTATCTGCCATTTCTGTACCAACTCTAATTTTGCTTGTCAAGAAGCTCTAAATGAAACCTCTGACACTAAAATCTTGATGTGACAAGGATGTGAATGCTGGTTGCATGACCTTGCACCACAATGTGTAGCTTCTAATTGTTTTCAGTAAAAGTGAAATGATCCATTTTGTCATTCTGTGTGTTTTCAAGTTAAATGAACCTAAGATTTCACATGAATAAAACAAGTTATTTATTATTTGTGTCTGCAGTGCGAATAGTTTATTAGAAAGAAGATTCTCCTAATTCAACTTGAAATATTTTACTACCACTTTTGAATTTTTCACCAGTTAGCACATTAAACTGTTTTCAGCAGCTTTTAGAACAAGTATGTAGTCTTAACCATCAGACTGTTGCATTAATTTTACACACATCGATTGCTCACACATGAGCATACATTTCACACTTCGAACATCAGTGTAACTGCATGTTTCTTACAGTCATGCCTTGTAATTTTGTATATTTTTTTTATACCTTTCATGGATAATACTTTCCTTCCATATGTTTGTTTGAATTTATTTTTAAAATGTTTATTGTTTTGGTTCCTTAGCCATGAATCAGCGAATCAGCCAAAGTGCTCCAGTCAAACAGCCACCTCCTCTGGCTCCTCAGAGTCCCCAGGGTGGTGTGATGGGAGGGAGTAGCTCCAATCAACAGCAACAGATGAGACTTCAGCAGCTACAGATGGAGAAAGAAAGGCTGAGACTGAAGCATCAAGAACTGCTTCGGCAGGTGAGGCCACAGGTTAGACACCTACTTCCACTATTTCTTCTGTATGTTATGTTTTGATTTTTCTAAGTTGTTGTTTCAGTGAGTCTTAAAGACCAGTGACTGTACAAAAAGCTTTGCATTCTAAATAGGTCTGAATTCATTCTTTTATTTATATCAGCTTGGTGGTGAAAGTACCTGATTTTTTAGACTCAAGGATTTTGCTTTCCTCCCTCTAAAAAACTCTTAAAGAGCAGGCTTTACAAACTATAAGGATGACAACATGGACTGTTGATGTGATTGGATATTCCTCCTGAGAATATAGTTCATATTCATTGAGTTCCAAGTCATGCAAAAAGTTATTTCCCACAGCTACTTTAGTTTTCCCTTTTAAGTGGAGGAAACTCTCTAGTTTTAGGACATGTTGCAGTCTGTAGGATTTTGAAGTATTTTTAAAGTTTATATAAGATACATTGAGGAGATGCCAAAATCTTACCTTTTCAACGGTGGAATGAGCATGGAACAACTGAATAACTTGTGCTGCATTTTGAACCAGTGGTTTTCTTATGCTGAAGAATTTCAAGCTTCATAATAAGGCTGCAAGCTATGCCTTTCAGTATTTTCTACTATATGGATGTGGCTGTATTATCCACTATACGGATATGGCTGTAGCAAATACTAAGGTGTAGGGCTGGACTTTGCAATCTCTGGATTGGAATTCGGGCTTGATCTCCTTTTGTCTAAGCCTTCTGCTTCAATTGTTCAATCTGAATGTTTTAAGAGTTACTACCATCTGTGCTAGATACTTAAGATATTTCTTTGGGTTTTTGACACTGCCAGAAAAAGCACTAATCTTTTCTTTGAGGAAAACCTTCTAAAATCTTTCCCTTTTCACTTTGGGTGATGGGCCTTGTATCAGAAGAGGATAATATCTTAAAGTCCTCAAAGACAGCTTTTTTCTTTCTTCATCACCTGCAGTATTCTGTCCTGGAATCTGATTCCCGTTATCCCCTTTGTAGTCAAGGACTGTTTTGTAGAAATCTTCAGCATCTCTTGGTGTTAGATGGGTCATCTTTACAGCCATTACTTTTTATGGCACTCTAGGTAAGAATATATTGCAAAGGTGGCATCAGGACTTCCTCTCTGCTTAAGCACCTGGGCTTCTGCTGTTCCTGCTTTGCAATTAATCCACAAACAGACATTTTACCCTATGCTAGCATGCTTCTAGGTAGGCCTTCTAATTGTCTTCTTGCCTCAGTTGTCATTGAGAACCTGACTAACTTTGGAGCAGGTGGCAACCAGTTCTCTTCATGTTGTTCCCCTTAGTCATTAAGCTTATCTGTCAAATACGCATCCTTGGTAAATCTCTGAGTTTTGTTTCACTGTGTCATGATTTTCACAGTTTCTTAACTCCCTTATCCTGTCTCATCTGGCCTGTCTCGGGGGCTTGATACTAGAAGATGGTGTTTATAAGACAGCCTGCATAGTAAACCATGCAGCTAAAGTAATTTTTATCCATCTTATTTTTACTCTTAGGCATTGCGGAATATCAATCCCAGCACAGCAAATTCTCCAAAACATCAGGTAGGCTCTTAACTGATGTTTCAGCATAATTAGAAAAATGAAAGCATTAAATTAGGCTAGCAGGGAACTTTCTGCTACATGAAAACATTCTAAAAAAGAAAAAAAAAAAACAAGCTCTGCCATGCACATTTTTGAATCACTTTTCTGATCACGGCCCTAACACCGTTTTTAGGAGTGCTGCATTACCACAAATTTATATCAATATTTAAGAGCAAATGAGGAATTCATTGCACATTTTTTTACATTGAAAACAACCTTCTTGTTCAGCATTCTTGAGGGTACTGCTGTTCCAGTCCTGATGTCATTGAGATGTTTATTTAAAGCAAACTATCTAAGGTAGTAGGTGGTGACTTTTAAGTACTGTTCGTATGAATGTTCTTATCAGTTTGTTTAAGCAGGTATGATCTTAGAGAAGGATGTCTGTTATCATTTAATGAAAAGTCACTTGAAATAGTTATGATTTTTAAACATGCATAGTATAACAGAATTACTTAATAGATTAGACTAACAAAATAATTGCTATGCAGATATGATTTTTCCATTTTGACATTTAACTGGCTCTTGCACAGATACATTTTCTGTATAGGAAACAACAGGTATGAAAAGCCTTTCAAGTTCAGACCAAAATAAAATTGTTCAAAATGTGAAGCAAATTTAATAGTTTAATGTAGTCTTCTCTTAGTCTCTAAAGAAGTTGAATAGAGAATGAATTTCTGGAAGGGTGAATTTATGGATATATTGAGAGAACGTCATGTTTACTATTGCTAACAGTATTTGAATCTACCAGTTCTTAGTACAATATTTATATTGGCTTGTACTGTACTTCATTTTTTAAGAAAAACCTCTGTATGCACTAGGCAAGAAAACCAGAATAAAGGAAAGTAAACTCTCTTTGGAAGCTATGAGTACTGGTGTACTGTTGCATTCTGAAGAGTACCAGAAAATTTATGTTACTAGTTCTGAAAAACAGAGACCTTAGTGCTGACACTGTGGAAAAAATACTTTCTTGTTTGGCAATACCAGAGCAGTTTTTAAACAGAAGCATTTTAATTGAGATGTAGTAATTTGATTAATTTACAAAGTATTAGCCACATAATGATCTTATCAATCAATATTAGATCCTATTCTGGAGGAGAAAAAAAGTCCTCAAGAATTGTGGGTATACAAGAGAATAAATGAAGGAGGACTCCTCCACACCAGTTGAAAACAACTTATCTTCTGTCATAATTAGGTCATTCATAGGGGTTGTTTTTCTTATGGAATGCCAAAAGTATATTCTTTTTTCTTCTATGCCTGAAGCCCTGTCATACCATTGTTCACTCTTCCACCAATTTCTTCCTGTTGCCAGCTCAAAAAAATACAAGAAATGGAGAAGTTTGTTATCAGTTTCATACTTAAATCTCTAAGACGAGGTTTTTGGAACTTCGTGAAATTATGGCTTTAAATCCTAAAAAACTGCAAAAACTCAAAGGGACTATACTGATAATTCATTAAATATATATGTAGTGGTCACTCTGCTTTATTTGGAGTGGGAACTGATGAAAGGATTCATACAAAAATCAGGATTCCATTTGTATTAAACTTGCTTCCTACCATACCCTACCTGGGATCAGTTTTATTAGTCTGCACTTGCTGATGAGTCAAGGTGTGTGTGAGTGATCTGTTGGGTAGAAGAATGGGCAATCATGTCAATTTAAAGTTCTGTAATACTAGACTGTTTGTGTTGTACCATCTAAACATATTTTTTGTGTTGTCATATCACCTCAGTAATGTAATGATCAGCCACAGGTGGAAGAAAGTGCTTAGAAAACTGCTTCTGGGTTCTGGCTCTCTAAATGCTTCTTGAGGCCTTGTACTGTAGAGGCAGATGTAGTCTGTCTTCTCTGATGATGCTGCTGTTGAAGTCCCAATCTGCATCTGATCAATCACAGCTGACCTTGTGAATCTGGAAGATGTATAGAAAGAATAAAAATTTCTTTGTTCAACTTTTTCTTTTCTGACAGGCCTTTCTTTCTTTTTGAATAAAAATTAATGAAGTTCAGAGGAATTATCTGCTTTCCTGATGATAAAGAAGTGCTTGGTGGCAGAGTAATTGCTTCTCTTGCTAAATTTTAGATGTTCTTTTAAGGAATACTAAAAATTTAATCTTCCTATGTTCAGTGTTCTTAATTCTGGTAAGGCTAAGTCTGTTTTAGAGTGTGATTGCCAACATCTTCCATTTGTAATGAAATTATGTAACACTTCAAATTCTTGAAGCTTGCCTCTAATGAAATCTCTTATATAGATGGATTAAAAACATCTGAGAAATGTTCCTTAAGTTTTAACTGGCTCTCTGAGCTTTTCATGTCAGACAATCACTAGGTTAGAAGGGACTGGTGAAGGTCATCTAGCCCAGCATCCTCATCCTACTTGACATTTTTCCCCATGTAGTCTGGATAAAGTACTGTGGTTGTATTGATATCTACGGTTAGGTTTTTTTGGTACTGGGTAACTGTAGTGTCCCTGCCAGGTTTTTGTCTCTCTGACATGATACTGTAGTATACTGTGGTGACACTAACACTCCAAGTGTTATGTATGGAAGCTTTAGCACCTTCTGGAAAGAGTAATTGCTCAGCTCCATTTTTTGTAGCAAGGACTGTAAGAGACTCTTCTTGTTTGAGGATGTATTTTGCTGAAATTCTAAAAATGTCAAAGTTTCTATAACTTTCAGACTTACTATGTATCAGCAGGAACTGTTGATACATTCACAAAATTTAAAAACACCAAGCATCTGTTCAGTCACTTGTGCTCATCATAAACAGTTATTTGTGAAACCTTAAAGATGCCTGTCTTAGTAAAGAGACTGAATGACTTGACTTTCACTCCATCCCACTAGCTCTCTTTTGATTTTCCTGCAGTTAGCATCTGATTGTCAACAATTTCTAATGTAGAGCGGATGTCCATCAAGTTTTGAATATGTTGCAAAATTGAGCAGATGTTAAATAACAAATTCTTCCCTTACAGTGTGCTGTGGAAAGAAATAGAGGCAAATAATGTTGAGGTACTGATGGCATTATTCTTGGATGTTGTGCAGACTATTTTCTTGTCCTGAGAATGGAAGATTTCTTATTTATCTGCTGCTAATATTAGAGTATTTGCTAGTAAGGTCAGCATACTACACATTTATAAGACAAGTTCCTCTTTATATGCTTGCTCATTCTGTATCTGCTGCTTGTTTCTAGCTTGCTTCTAAGCCTTAGAGATCAACAAAATAATTGTGTTGCTTGCTCATGTCTGTAGATCTGTATGGATCAATACCTTGTTTAAAAGTCTGTGTAGTAAATCAGAACTGCATTCACTGGCTGTGCTGGTTGTTGTGATTGAAGCAATGAACGGATCGTTTCCCGCTTAGTCCTCACAAACTGCCCAGCTCCTCATCGCTGAGTTCATTTGTCTTCCATCTGTCCACATGTCTTCCCTGTTTCTTTTGTATATGTGCTGTAACTTTCTGGCCCTCACAAGAATGCAAACACCTAATCTGAAGAAGCAACTGGTGCTGTAAATCTGCCCAGAAGTGTTGTGGTCTTCTCTTTCCCCTACAATTTCTCTCCCATCCCAGGAAAGCTGGTGGATCATTTGAAGGTCCACATGGTTGGATGGCTGGGGACAGAAAAGTTACAACTGGCACTTTCAAAGTAAATTTTAAAAACCAGTTATCAGGATATATCAAGCCAAATTGAGTAGCATATCATGGGTTTAATACAGTAAGAATATGAGTGAGTGCAAATCATCTGCATTTCCTCAAAAGCCAGTGAAGATAAAAATGCTCTGAAAAGGGTAGTTTTATAAAGTTAAATTGAACATGGTGTGAATGACCTGTAACTTCGTGTAAAACTTGATCTGTATGGAATTATGAAAAAAGAATATAGATGAGGTCAGCCAGATAACTTACATAATGTTGACCTTATTTTTAAAATTATTTAAGGACATGACAGATCATTTTGGTCTCTGTGTAATAACCAAAATTCAGCTTTTTGCTAACAAGAGGAATACTAAGCTTTTTTTCCCCAGAGGTACTTAAAACAAGTTTAACATACTTAAAAAATAGGGTGAGATTAATTCATAGAAATCTAAGCCAGGATTTTGTCTTAGGTTTTTTTTTTTGCTTCCAGACTTTAAATATGCCTAATAAAGCATATATTTTAAAACATGAATTGAAAGCCTAGAGTTCATATTGCCCTGTTTGGAGCTGGGAGAGACTTGGACACTCCCATGCATTTTTTTCAAGTATAGAAAACATACAATTTTTTTTTTTTTGCAAAACACGTCTATAAGGAAGCAGGAGTGAAAAGACTGTTCAAGCAACACTTCAGCTTCCATTTTATACACTTTTTAGGAACAATAGTCTTAACATACTCTTTAGGCCTTTAGGAAACTTACCTTATCTTGCAGGATGATTAAAAATTGCCCTGTATTTGTTTTTCAATAGCTTGTCTTTTTTGGTAATTCCTTTCTCTTTCAGACTCCCAGAATGACATAAATATATTACTTAGATGAGTAATAACATTCTTTTGAGGGGAAAGTGCTCCTGACTCCTGAAAATGTAGCAGTAATGCTACTTATAAATAGTTAAAAATAGTTGCAGTTTTGCATTTTTTAGCAATGTTGTTGAAATAAAGATAAAAGTAGTACTAATTTTAAAAATACTAGTTTCACTATGCAGTACATGCCAAAGAATAGGCAAAATATATAGTTCTCTCTCCTGGTTTAATACATCTCTTTAGTGGGCCTTTAAAGAAATGAGATACTTTTTTTGTTGTTGTTTTAGATGGCTAGTGCCTTCAGCTACGTTTATTTTTACCATACTACTGAAGTTCATGTACTGATGAAATTTCAACCTCTCCTACATTCTGAGGATTCATAAAAATGCAAAGATAACTTCCCTGTTTTTCCAAATTTCTTGTTCGTTTGTACTGACTTTTTTTCTTATGGCAACAGAAGAATAATAGTGGGTTTTTTTTCTTTCCTGGTGTCAGTAGCTCTTGAAAAGGGGATGTGTATGGTTTTCTTATTTTCCTCGCTACTGAATCAAGAGGCAGTCCTGATTGGAAAGGCCACACAAAGGAGATAAAATGTCACTTTAGTTCATATACAGAAATGATGCAATGTAGGTTTTCCTTTGTTACCACTCTCTGTGGCATTGGTGTATGATCAAGCTGCTTCTGCAGTCTGCTGGCACTTTTGGCTCCTCCTCTTCATCCAAATCAGGAACTGCAGCCCAAGGAAATAAAGATGTAATGTATAGATCAAGCCAAGAGGGAAGTGGAAAAGGACAGAGCGTGTGGGTGAGCAGTTCTTGAGCCACCTCTGGCATAGCTGCTCTAAGACCTTCTGCCTTCTTCTGCCTTCTTCAGATCACTGTCTGGGAAGCATTCCAGGGAAAAACACTTTTTTCTTTCTTTTTTTCAAATGGATGAGTCTACCTGTATATCAGGTAACTTGTGACTGATACAAAGTTGCATACAACTTAGCTGTGCAGTAAGATGTCTTTATGTAGGCTTTTGACGTGTTTTTTAACATAAGCAAATGAAAATCATGTGGATAAGCCTCTAGAAATTATTAGAAGATGCTTAGTATCCTGTGATCTGAAAATGGAGATGGAGTATTATTGCTGTTCATTAGAACAGTGGCCATATACGTGGTGATGAGCAGAGGATTTGGTTTACTTGAAGTAGCAGTTGAGTGTGATGAACACAAAAACCACTGGTATGCTTGTGCATGATCTGACCAACTGTAGTGAGAAAATTTTCTTGTACAAGACATAAATATGTAGAATAGTAATGTAGAATACATGTAGAATAGTAATCCACAGGAATGGGAGTGAACCATATGCATATTAGAAAAGAAAACCAGGCAGTAGAGCATCTTCAATACATCATCTGCTGGAAATAAAATAACCTTAGGATTTCTTAAAAAGAAATCACTTTGAAGAAGAATTGGGGAAAAGTTAGTTTTATATACTAAAATACTACAGTATAGTAGTTTTTAAGCTTACCATTGAAAATGGATGAAGACATCTCATTTTACAAGTGAGAAATATTGAGTATTGTCAAGACTGACATTGACATGTGTAAAAAATTATATTCAATTTAGATTTGTAACTTCAGAAGTGCAGTGTCTTGGTATTACTAAGAAATTACTCGGAATTTGAAGAGCTTTGAAATTTACTTAGGGAGCTAATCACAGACTTGATCAGTCAGAAATTTCAAATGCATGCCTCAAACAAGAGGATTGAATGGAAACTTTTAGGGAGAGACTTGAAAGTTTGCTGACTGAAACAAGAAAGGTACAAAGGAAGCCAGGAACTAAAAGAGAATTTAAAAGAAATGGAGATAAAATGCTATTTAGCAGAACTAAACTGGTTATATTAGGGGTCAGATGGTATTAACAATTCTTGTTTAATTATAGACTTAGCAGAAAGATACTGAGATGAACTAGAAAATATTTGTGTAAGCATACAGGTATTTATACCCATAAATACATTTACAGTTGGCCATGGCTGCTGCAATTTGCATTTTCATTGAGGCCAGTACAGATTCTTGCTTTGTCCTCAGAAATTTTAGTTTAATTTCATTTAACTCTTGTAACTGGAAGCAGTAAAAACATCAGTTATCTATAATGTCACGTGTTTATGTATCCAAAAAGTGTGTTCAAATGCCTAACATGATCTCTCTTTCTCCCTCTCCTGCTGTTCTAGGAATTGGCTCTCCGTAGCCAGCTTCCAACAATGGAACAAGACGGTGGATCTCAAAACCCCGTGTCATCTCCTGGAATGTCTCAGGAGCTGAGAACAATGACTACAAATAGTTCTGATCCGTTTCTTAACAGGTTTGTAGGAGTAGCTACTAGAGGAAAGAAATTTGATTTAAAATTCTGTTTGGTACATGTAATAGTTTATTTTGAACATCTGTCTGTGCCAAGAGCCACAGCTGTAAATGAATCTTTCCTTAAATGGCAAGTCTAGTAAAAGTTGAAGATTAAAAGCTGTCTCCTGTGGGAGGAAGTAGTCTGTTCAGACTTGTAGGAAGGTTTTTATTCAAAGTCATAACATGTTTGCCTCTGCATAATCTGTTGACTAACAGTCATTTCAAATTACTGACTCAAAGAATTTGTGAATAGCTCGCTGTGAGATCAAATGAACTGTGAGGCACATTTAGGATTACAGCTTGAGGTTCATTTTAAGGTTTCTCCATTCACCCCTCCCCTCCACTTCAGGTATTTAGCAGTATTTTTACTCTGCTAATGTTAGGTCTACAAATAGTGGCATGTTTATTTTTAAATGCTCTATTATTTTGAAGTGGATATTTTCATTCAAGGTTTAGAATCTTACAGTATTGATTAGTCCTTCATAAAACTTTTTCCTGAATCCCTCTGACTTGAAGTGTTTATTTTGTTGGAAATACTGTTCAAATTTCAGCTTGCAAATGCTTCATACCAAACATTACAACTTTAGAGATACTGCTGCAGCTTGAGATTAATGATATCTGTATTTTGGGAAATCCCTTTGGGAAAATCTCCTACACAGGCAATTATAATTGGAAAACCTGATGTTTTTTGGAGGGATTATCATACATGGAATTCATCCTGTAGGGTGTTTTTGTGTGAACCTCAACTGTGCTGGCTTTGTCCTAAGAAATAAAAGAGACAAGACCTGCTCTTTAAATTTAAAAAATTTAATTTTTTTAAATTAAAAAAAATTATATTTAAACCTGACCTGCTCTCCTATGGAAAGCCTCTGTAGATAGACGATGGTATTGATGTGGTATAGGAACATTCTAGCTTGAATTTCTGGAAGGCTGTTGCCATCACACATCACACAGGTCCTCACATTTTCAAAACCTGTTTTCTGACTTGAAGGAAATGCATCTTCAGGTTTCAAACGGCCACAGCAGTGGACTGATGCAGTTTATCTGTTGTGAGTCTACACACATAAAATAAAACTTGATGGATCTTTGCCATTAACTAAAAATGGGGAAAAGCTGGAAAGTACAAACTAACATTTTGTAATTTTATGGTAAGTCGATATTTACTGCAAAGTGCAAAAAGATACTGCTTGCCTAGTTGCATATATGTTTAACTGTTGTTTTTTTTCCCAAACGTAGCCCTTACCCCATGCAAAATACTGAAAAATCTGTATTTGACATGAGTTCAGATTATCTTAATTTGGATTTTGATCTGAATATTTGTCGTCTTTTAGTCTGGCGTATGTGTGGCACCACACTTAATTCTGTCATATCGGTGTGGGAAAGGGATTTTTAAGGACATTTGTGAATACGTATTGCTGTCTCAGAAAGCAGTCCAATAGTTTAGACCTAAAGATCTTGTTGATACTCCTGTTAAAGTTCAGGCTTGGAGAAATGCTCCCTTCTATCTTTATAGGGTGTATATAAAGTTCTTGGTGAGACAGTACTAAATTTAGGCCCCAAAGTCATAAATTCAGAGTTTGGGTCATTTAATATATTCTGCTGCCTATATAATCGAAACATAAAAAAATTTCAGAAAATCACTACTTTAGAGCAATTTGAGATAATGCTCAGTAGTGGTTTAAAATGCATAATCAAATCTGCCTGCTATCTTCAGTACTTACGTCATTATGGTATATTTGATTTTTTTTTTTTTTTTTTTGAATGACTTCATTAGACTATTTTACCTTTTGGTTTGCCACACTTGTTTATATATTTTTGTTGGTTAGATTTATACTGGTAGTGATGGTAGCTCTCTCTTTAACTCCTAAATCAATGAACAAATCCTTGTTGAAGAAAGAGGAAATGTGTACTAAGAAGTGATTTGAAGAGAAGTGCTGGACATTCCAAGTGTGAGAGCAACAGCCAAAAAGCCTTCTCCACTGGAGTGATTTAGTTTAGTATAGTCTCAATTCTTTCTTTAGTATTTTGTACTATAAAGTAAACCAGCATTTTTGTTGGCAGAAGTTCTAAATTGTTTAATTACTAGGATTGTGTCAAATTTGTGATGATACTGTTTTTAAATCAATCTAAAAAAAGATAAATATTTATCATTTATCTATAAAGAAATGTTATGTTCCTTTCTTGTATGGCAAAGATGTATTCATGGAATCAAATATATCTATGCTATGAATTTATCTACATGGCTGAAAGCATTCTGTTGGCATCTGATGTTGAATAGCCGTTCATAATTTTTTTTGGTTCTTCATACTTGACAAAAAGGCATATACTGTATGCTTCACAAGTACATCATGAGGATGATCAGTATGTCTTCAAATGATAATTTGAACAGTAAATCAAGTTAATTTTCATTTAGGATGCAAGATTGAAAATCAGTAACAATTCTCAGTAAATGCTATCATAACCTGAAGAAATACAGATTTTGAAAATATTTTGTGAAAACTGAATATTAGGAGATGCAGGTGGGAGGGAGGTAATGGTGGCCTTCAACAGCTGCTTATGGAGGCCACAGGTCCTGTCAGCCTGCTCTGGCATGGATCCTCCACAGGCTGCAGGTGGATATCTGCTTCTCCTTAAATCTCCTGGGGGGCTGCAGGGGCACAGCAGGGCTGCACCAGAGGCTGCAGGGGAATCTCTGTTCTAGTGCCTGGAGCAGTTCCTGGCTCTCCTCTTGGACTGACCTTGCAGTCTGCAGGGCTGTTCCTCACATGTGTTCTCACTCCTCTCTCCCATCTGCTGTTCAGCATTTTTCCCCTCTTCTTAAATATGTTATGACAGAGGTACCACCATTTTCACTGATGGGCTCAGCTTTGGGCAGCTGGACCACTTTGGAGGCAGCTGGAAGCAGCTGGCTGGCATGGAATCAGCTGCTCCTGCTATGTCACACAGCAATACCTGCAGACCCCTGCTACCAAAACCATTCTATATAAACTCCATACACTGGACTTCTTCCCCTCCCCATCCCACATTTCCACGCTCTTGGTACTGCTTGCTGTGCTGGCAGGAGATGGCAGTAAGAAAGTGACGGCATGTAAGGCCCCATGCCATCAGTTTGGTTAACTGTTCTGTCAGCAAAATCACTCTGAGCAGGGTTTGTTTATAGGATGGCTTCTGTACCAGTATTTGATTTATATTTGGGTGCTCTCTTGCCTTGACATGTGTGACTGAACAAGTAGTAATGCAGCAGTGGGAAGCAATTGAAGAATTGCTAAAGAAGTTTCAACTGTTTATAACATCAGTGACCTAAAAATACACTAAAGTGGTTGATTAAACATGGGAACATTAGTTAGAAGTAATTTTTTTATCCTTATGGAAGCATAAAAGGGAGCACCATAATTATTATTATTTTTTCTAATCAGTATGGATTATCTGATATGCTTCGAAAGGTTTTAGCTGTGGGTGGGTATGAAAAGATTAAAATTATGCACTACACCAGTAGGCAGTTTCTTAAAGCTGCTTAGGTATGTTCTCATCAAGTTAAATTGAGTCTAAATAATATGGTTTTAATTGGAAGAGTTCTGTACAAAATAAAACCCAGGTGTCTCACGCAAACAAATGCTTCAGGTTTTTATTAGAATGGGGGATTTTTCATGGTAGTAATGTTTTCAAAGCCCATAAATTAGTTAAAAACAAGCATCAATTTTATTTTCTTCAGTGCTCTACCCTAATTTTTTTCCCTCTTTTTCTTCTGTTCCAGTGGAACATATCACTCCAGAGATGAAAGCACAGATAGTGGACTTAGCATGAGCAGTTACAGTGTACCCAGAACCCCAGATGACTTCCTGAACAGTGTTGATGAGATGGATACAGGTCTGGTTTGTGTACATTTTTAATGCATGTTTTCCAAATACACTTGTATCCATTTGCAATGAAAACAAGCAACTCTGAAAAGCTGTGACACTTTTTGCATTGTTTTTGCCTTTTCCAATTTCCCCTATTTCTCTGGTGGAAACATTATGGTTAGATTTGTGAAAAAAATATATTTGTAATTAACTGTATTGGGAGGATGGGAAAATTGCTCGTAAGTAGTATCACTCCTGTTTTTATAAGGAATTTAAGTTTCTTTGCTTTTTGAAGTAATGTTATTCAGAGCTAAGAATAGAACCTCCTCCAGTGTTGTTAATACTACTCCAAAACTATATTTGACTTAGTATTGTCTTTTTCCTTCAAAAATAAAATTATGCTGAATGACATCAAAGATCTGGGTTAGTAGGTTAAAGTTGGAAGCAAAGGCGTACTCTTTGTATATCTGCATGCAGTCAAGTTATCTTTGGGGTTTGTGATGGATTTCTGTTAGTCACACTGCTTGTATGATGCAAGAGGTACATGATTAACCTTTAACCAATTGTCCTGATAAACTGTAGGTTTGGTACTTCCAGTATACTTAATATCCATCTTTGTGTTATAACTAGGTGACAGTATCGGCCAAAGTAACATACCATCCCATCAGAACCGTTTCCCAGACTACCTTGAAGCCATTCCAGGGACAAATGTGGACCTTGGGACACTGGAAGGAGATGGAATGAATATAGAAGGAGAAGAACTGATGCCAAGTCTGCAAGAGGCTTTGAGCTCTGACATCCTTAATGACATGGAATCTGTCTTGGCAGCCACCAAGCTAGATAAAGAGAGTTTTCTTACTTGGTTATAGGGGCCTCAGGGAGACTGAATTCTAAATCTGTGAAGGATCTAAGGAGATTAGGACATCTGTATCTGAAGTTCAGAACAAGCCAGTGTGGTGCACATTGGCTTGTGTTCAGAAAAAGTAAATGAACAAATACTCAACAAGATTCTTTGGGTTTGCTCTTCCTTGTCCATCGCTGCTGTTATATATTGCTGACTTTTTTCCACAGTTGACTCTGAAGAACAGACATCTTCTTGATCTTTTTCTATTGCTGTTGCAACTACTGTTCAAGGGGGGTGGGGAGGAATGATGAGCCTATTTTGGATGACGAATGCCATTCCTTTTGTCCTAGTGTGCGCTTGCATATCATTTTATCTAAGTACTCAGATTTGAGAGTTAATTTCTGCATGTCACTGCTTGTAGTTTGCTCAGCTAGTTGTCTCCTGCTGCCTGTGGTAAGTGGTAAAACATGATATACTGGGGTGACAAGCCAAAAATGATGTATCTGGTCAAAAGCAGTCAATACTGATTTGGAGATACGATGTAAAGGAGGGCTGAAGACTGGCATTAAGTGTTCCTACTAGTAGCTCTTGCATTAGCCACAAAGTGCTCTTGTTTGTATTTTATGTTATAGTAAATCATGAGTCATTTTACATAGAAACATATATGAACTTTGATTGTTGCCACATACTCTAGCCTAACTTCCATTTGTCAGAAATACTTTGATTATTTTTGTTAGTTGATTTAACTGTAGCTGTAGGATGGGAAGTAATTATAGGTGTTCTGGGTTTTTTTTTAATTAGTGAAATCTAAGGGTTTTTTCTGATTTCACACAGTCTTATTTAAATCTGAATTGTCTGCTTTTTTTTATACTTAAACCATGCCTATTGTAGCCTGATAAGCTAGTGAGTACATAAACCAGTATGTTTTGCCTGTAACTTTTTTATTTTTTTAAAGGCTAGCTTTGAATGTAATCATTAGATTTCATGACCAGTGGCTTATTTTTCATGTGTATTTGCGAGACTTTGAATTAGAATCTGATTACAGCAATGTAAAAGTTAGAGTCCTTTGTCATGTGTACAAATTTTAAATGCATTTTAAAGTAGCAGAACCATTTTAAAATTACATTTAATCTCTCTTCTGGTTTTCAGTTTTGGTCTCTAAGTGAGTTCAGATTTTAAAATCCTTCATGGGGAAAAAAATTATAAAAAGTTTCCCTTAAGTTAACACGGAAAAAAAATCTGAACTATTAATATCACTGTGTGTTGCAATGTAAAGGCTAGAACACCAAAAATCTTCTCAATAAAAACTTCCAAGTGTAAGAGTTTGGTGAAAAATAAGCCCTGGACACTATATGTAGAAGAATGTAAAGATATGTGTTAGATGGTGACATGAGCAGGTAATGAAGTGTATATTAGTAGTAGAGCTTAGCATGGGGTAGAGGTGAATATGAATCATTTTTATTTTAACAGGAAAAGATGTATCACTAAGTTGTCTGCAGGAGTTGACACAAGTTTCCAAAGAGTATTTTTAAATGAACAAAACGAGCATGAATCAAACTTTCAATATAAGCTATGAATTTTTGTGGGGCTTTTAGGATTTTTTCTGATGAAAAATAGTGTCACCAGTTAACACCTCTATAATTAAGGGCCTGTCACCATTATCAACATTGAGCCTTTATTTTCAAGGGTGTATAACATGACTATAAAGATACTGTAAGCATGAAACTTAGATTTGGAAAAAAACTCTCAGTTAGCAGGGACTTCTCCTGAGGAGAGATTTTTTGGGTTTTACTGTTTTGCATTTTTTTTAAAGACACTGATTATTTTTTTAAGCTAGGAACAAATCAGCAAAACAAACAAAAAAACCCGTCGTATTATTATTGCCATTTGGATTTTTCTAATGCTTCAGAAATAATTCTGGTTTAAGATGATGTAAAGAAAATGAAGACTCTTAACTAAATCCTATTTTAAAAACTGAAGCAGCAGAGGCAGAGATTTGAAATTTACCACTATAAATGTACATTTATTACTTTACATAAATGTATTAGTGTTTGAAAAACACAAAATTTCGTGGCTTGTTATGGGATACAGGCAAGTTTTTAAATAACAATTTTTAAAACACATTCACGATGATATATATTCTGCTACATCAATAATTCAGCAGTTAATAGGCCACTTATATTGTGCAATGACACAGTAGCTCCTAAAGCAGTGTATTGTGTCCAGGATAGGGATTTTGGTAGCATTTTTGCAATTTCAATATGAATTCCTCTCTCTTTTACCCTTCAGGAAAAGAAAAAGACACTAAGTTTTCATAACTTGAATGATCTGACATAAAACCACAACAGCAAGGAAATTCAGAGTTGATTCTATTTCATTTGTCTTCCACGGTTGTATCCAGGTATCATAGCACATAGAGAGTCACAGAATAAGCTGAGTTGGAAGGAACCCATCAGGATCAAGTCCAACTCCTGGCCCTGCACAGGACACCCCAGGCTTCACACCATGTGCCCGAGAGTGTTGTCCCAGCGCTTCTTGAACTCTGTCAGGCTGGTGCTGTGAGCACTTCCCTGGGAAGCTTTTTCCAGTGCCCATCCACCCTCTGGGAGAAGAGCCTTTTCTTGATATCCAGCCTAAATTTCCCCTGACTCAGCTTCAGGCCATTCCCTTGGGTCCTGTCACTGGTCTTGAGAGTGAAGAGATCTTACCTGTCCCTCCTCTTCCTCTCATGAGGAAGCTGTAGACTGCAATGAGATCTCCCCTTGCCTCCTCCAGGCTGAATAGACCAAGTGACCAAGTGACCTCAGCCATGAGAAGTGGCTTCCCCTCAAGGCTCTTCACCATCATCATTGCCCTCCTTTGGACACTCTCCATTAGCTTAATATCCCTGTCATACTGTGGCACCCAAACCTGCGCCCCCCAGCACTTGAGGCCATCCCAGTACAGAGCAGAGCGGGACAGTCTCCTCCCTTGCCCGGCTGTGATGCTGTGCCTGATGCCCCCCAGGACAGGGTTGGCACTCCTGGCTGCCAGGGCACTGCTGCCTCATGTTCAACCTTCTGCCAGCCAGGACCCCCAGGTCCCTTTGTGCAGCGCTGCTCTCCTGCATCTCATCCCCCAGTCCATGCACACAACCAGATATGATGCACTGAGTGCAAACTCCTGACATGCTCTACCTAGCTACAACAGAAATGAGTACAGAACAAATTATCTTTCCTTGCTTTTGTGTGTTTGTCACAGCTTTAATATCTGAATGTTTTATTCTCATTGTAGAAACACTAAATGGCTTACTGTATTTGGGTAGCACTGCTTAGGGTAGATACTGACAAACTGGGAATCCTTGAACTGCTCTAACATTAATTATGTTTTGTGATACTTATTTTAATTAAGACATTTCCGTTCTCTCACCTACTAGGAAACATACCATAGAGATGCTGTACTGTTGGCAATCAATATTAATTTGGATTTTTTTTTTTTTTTAATTCTGCAAATGCATTATTTGATGAAGTGGTTAAAATTGTTTGAAATGCAAAAGTGTTTTGGGTAGTATTTTATACTGATGTATATATTGAAACAGAAATCATTGTAATAATTGTAATAGCTGTTAGTTTTAAACACTATATGCAGACAGATGGGGCTGTACAGAGCTGTACTGTTAACACCCAGGCAGGGCTACTGCTTGGGAACAGGTTGCAGCGTCAGTGAACCATATGGATCAAATATTGTACCGTTCAGTGTTGGCGCTCACCAATGCAAAAGGAGAAGAGACAATTTCAACATGATTAACACTACATGGTAAATTAGTACTACAGTGACCTTTTCACTTACAAGCATGTTTTTTATACAAATTAGCAGGTGTGCCTGTATAAAATAATTTGTGTTCTGTATCATGGAAAAAGTACTCTCCACATTTAGAATCACAGAATCATGTTGTATGTTAGAGAATTATGTCCAAAATTATATATATTACTTAACAATGTTATTTTTAGATATGAGCATGACTGTAAGCTAGGTACTTAAGTACATTCTGTTACATTATTTTTTCTTTATGTAATACTTTTTCAGTTGTTTTATTTGGTATAAATATATACTTTGTGCTTAAACATCTTTGTTTGTTTTTAACATTCAATAGTATGTAAAGATATGATTTCCTTCAGTAAGATAGATGCATTGAATTGTTGGAATGCAAATTTAGTGTGTCTGTTCCTGTCCCCCTTGTCATTGCCTTTGTAGTCAAAAACTCCAGTTCTGCAAATACAGTGTGCAAGCTCACCTGAGAGACAAATGAGTTCCACTGGCTTCAGTAAAGGCCTAACATTAAAGTATACATCTCTGTGTGCTTGCAGTAATGAAGAGACAGTGACTCTGGTGAGCATCATGCAGCTTGTGTAAAACAATACTTTAACTGCAAATGGCACTATAGTTGAGACCTGGTTACAGAACATGTGGGTATCTACTAGAAGAAAGCATCCACATTTTGCAGACAATGCTTGCCATGTTTGGATGGCAGATACATTTTTGGCTAACTCTTAAGTTTATGCATTAATTTGTGGCAGACTATCAATAAAGACACACTATTTTAATTTCCAAGTTTTGACTTATGAATTGTGAAGTATGTAATGACATACCTTGAAAGTGCCTGAAGATTTCAGTTCAAAGTATCTTGACAGGTTTCATTAATTTTGACCCTCTGTATAACAGTCTGAATGATGGGGGTTTTTTTAAATGTAGTGCAATTTGGAAAGTCCAAAGTCATATCCTGTTTGCATTTTAGCAGTTCAAGAGTTGGTGCTGTTGAGCACCAAATGCCCCAGCCCCATGAGATTCAGCACATTTGTGTGTTTTCTTTGAAAAGGGTACAGTCCTTGATGGATTTATCAGTTTGTCTTGTATTTCTGAGCTCATAGCCAGCTTTAGTCACCACATCCTTCAAATTTAAATGTAACATCACACCTTCCACCTGGGAGTAGGCAGCCAGTGCCAGGGAATAATAAGGCACCAATTTTGTTTGCTGATATCACTCTCATTTATAAGGTGGTGACATATTGCAGTAGTTGAAGTATGAGTGACCTTCTGAGGCAGCCCTAAATAGACTGTATTACTGCAAAGCAGGATATTTGGTCCAGGTATTACAGGCTCACTTGGCAATTCTCTTTGAAATATTTTCAACACTTAGTTAAAAATAAAACGTATTTTTTTCAGTAAGCCAGAAATAATATGCTTCCAAGGAAGTAAGTGCAAGTTATCAGCCAAAGAAAGCATTTTTCATCTTGGATCATCAACAGAGTAATTATTTGAGATCAGGCTATGATCTGTATAGCACCTCCTGTTTTGGAGGTTTATTCAGAGATAAACCAGGGCCACTGATTTTATTTACAGTATCAGCATCCAGAGTTTATATGTTCCTCCTGAAGAGTAAAAGTGTGCTTCTTGACCTTTCTTGTCACTACTTCTTATTGCTAACAGGGATTATCTGCACCTGCTAAATTTAGGTGTCATCAAAATAGGAAGATGTTGGTACAGGATGAGAGATCTTGGTTAATGTGAAACACTGAATCCAACTCTTAACTGAAGAATCAGATTGTCTTTAGAACAGAGGGTAGAGCTGTGTACTAACTATTATATCCAGTACTGAATGCCTCTTAAATAAAACAGCCAATGTGTTTTTCTCTAGGAGAAAATGGCACCTCTATAGCATATCATCATATAGCATCTCTAGGACGTGCTTTGAGTGATCATGTTGCGTGAGAAACATATAAATGCTGACACATCTGACAAAGCTGCCTTATGGAGTCTGTGGAAAACTCAAGGTTTTTGCTTTTCCAGACATCATCTGTCCATAATGCAGAGGTTGTAACAGTGAATGCTACAGATCTAGGCTGTCACACACTGGTTTTATTTTCTCTGTATGAGAATGCAGTTGATCATTCTGATGATAGAATTTTCTGTATTAAATTGGCTTGGTTTAGAACATGAGAGGAAAAGTAGTTTCATGGGATTTTCCTGTCTATCAGCAAGTGTGACTGGAGGGAGGGGGTTGTTTTGTTTTGGGTTGTTTTGCTTCATTTTGTTTTTTAAGGGAGCAGCCCAAGAGGCTTTTTTTCAGTGTCCTCCAACAACAAACTAGAACTCCATAAAAATGGT